ATGAAACAGATTAGAAATAATATACAAAATATTTTTCTCAAAGAAAAAAATTGAGTCTACTGAATGCAGAGTGTGTTCTTAAGGAAATTGTTCACTCAAGTACCCGATGATAAGTAAAATATATCCTTTCAGGATAAAACGATCTTACTCACATGTGTATTATCAGTACCTAAATTTACGGTGTTAGCGAACCAATCAACAACAAAAATACACTTAAAATACTAGATTTAGTAGTAGAAGAAGTCAAAAAATTCGTTAAATACATTGTTGAAAAATAAGAGGAAACCATTCTACTCCCTCCATTTCAAATTAATTGAATTGTTGAGGTGTTTTACATCCTTTAAGTAAAGAAGATTAAGACATAATTTAGGCATATCTTTCCACTTCTACCCTTATTAATTAATGTCAAATTAATTAAAATAACTAAACATTAATTATACTCCCTCCAATCCATATTAATTTAATTTTTGAGGTGTTTTACACACTTTAAGAAAAGTAGATCAAGACATAAATTGAACACAGTTTTCTATTTTTACCCTTATATATTGTCAAATTTATGATTAAAATAACTAAATATTAATTAATCACTAATTCCAATACTAACTAATGAAGGGTAAAATTGGAAGAACACTCTAAAAGTAGTCTTGAAAACTGAACAATTAAGTTAATTTGAAAAATGAAAAATGCCTCAAAAATTAAATTAATATGGAATGTAGAGAGTAATAACCAATTCCAATACTAACTAATGAAGGGTAAAATTGGAAAAATATTCTAAAAGTAGTATTGGGGATTGAACAATTAAGTTAATTTGAAAAATGAAAAAAATTTCAACAATTCAATTAATTTGAAATAAAGAGAGTATTAGACAACAAATGGTAGTATGAACAAGTGTATACTGTGCTTAATAAGAAAAGGTCACAAGCAACTTTTGATTTAAGTCACAACTGTTCAGAAAATTCACAATTCTTCACAAGAGTTACTACAATTTTTCATAATAGTCATAACTTTTTATTTTTCATTCACATTTTTTAAAAATGCAATAGTAAACTCTCTCTAACAAAGACAATTCTATACTCATAAGGACTTAAACTCGAGATAAGTCATAATGAAGCGCTCTCTAATAAAGACGACCTCAAACCAATGAGATATCTACTAAACGATAGGAAAATAGTAGTACAAGTTCAAATGATAGGTATAAACTGTCCTAAAACGTATAGTACAAGATAGTACACATTACACAAACTAAAACCCACCAACTCCTATTCTTCTCCTTTTTCACCTTGATATTCTCATCATTCTATCACACCTTATCATCATCGAATCGGATTGAACAAAAAGGCCCATACTTGCCCAACGAATCAACAAAATACCCATCTTCTCCTTAAACCCATCTTCTCCAAGAACCCAAATCGGCAAGAACTCAAAATCGGAAAGCAAATATGATGCACATGACCTTTTATTGGGGTAAAAAAGTAACCCTTTTGTTCGATTTTTGGAGAACTGATTCATGGACTAGCTATGCAGTTACTTTACTTGCTTGTTTTATCTTCGCCCTATTTTATCAGTACATGGAAGATCGTCGTCAACGATTCAGAATTATCTCTGCCAATTTCAGGAGGAATTACCCTCCACCGCCGCCGTCTAGCGCTGCCGTAAATACTCCCCTTCTTTACACTTTCCCGACCGTCGGCGGTAAGTGGAACTCGGCGAGATTCGCTACGGCGATCGTTTTTGGGATCAATTCGGCAATTGGGTATATGCTTATGTTGGCTGTTATGTCATTCAACGGCGGCGTTTTTGTGGCTATTGTTCTGGGTTTGGCGATCGGATATTTGCTGTTCAGGATCGGCGATGAGGATGATGTCAGCGCTGATAATCCTTGTGCCTGTGCTTGATATGATATTAGTTAATGGGTTTGATTGTTGTATGTATGAATACTGATAGTGAAAATGTTTTCCTTTTTTACATAGCAGTATTGGATCTGTTGATCTTTCATTTTTCCTTCTGTTCTGTTGTATTTCTTGATCTCAATATAATTTTACACCTTTTTCTGCTTAGCTATTTGTGCCCATCTGTTTCCCACGATTCTGTGTACATCAATTATAATCCTTTCTTCTTGTTCATTAAAACAACCCCTTTTCAGATCTGGCCTTAAATAATCTATCCACCTCATGAAACTGCAGCTTTTTCCAAATCCGGCGAAACTAATAAAGAAACAGTCAAATCTCTTTGTAACAATGTAGTTTGTGATACTTTTGAAATTATCGAGATTTTAATTCCCCAGTTTAGGCCTTAGGGACACAACTCCAGCAGGAACATGAAGCCAAAGACCTCTCTTTACTTAATTACTTTCTGTTTGCTGCAACATTGATTTCCCATTCTCAACTCATCATACTTCAAGTACAACAAAAGAAAATATTCCCTAATTGAATTTTTGAGGTGTTTCACAGTTCACCCTTTTAAGAAAAGTAGATTAAGACATAGATGGAACATAGTTTTCTATTTTTATCCTTATTAATTATTGTCAAATTTATTGAAGTCATCACATTGAAAATTCAAATGAAGGGTAAAATTGGAAGAACACTCTAAAAGTACTGAGCAATTAAGTTAATTTGAAAAATGAAAAATGCCTCAAAAATTCAATCAACATTGAAAATCCCTTGGTGAAAACATTTTACTGATATTTAGCGACTCTTCATTGCATACAAAGTTGTCAAAGCATTTATATAGAGGTCTGGTTATAAATAATATCCTTTATTATAGTCGCAAAATTCTTTATTTGTTATAGTGAATATTCTAGTTATCAAATTCCAAGATCATTACATGTAGCAAGTAGACATAAATTACATTTCCGACTACAGCTAGCACCAGGAGTTTCAGTAACATCAACATCTTCAGGCTTCATTCCATTAGGCATCTTCCAATTGAAATAGTAAATAAGTTGAGCTAAAGGAAGCTCAACATTTGATAAACCAAATGAAATTCCAGGACACATTCTTCTTCCTCCGCCAAATGGTAAATACTCAAACCTATGTCCGATAAATTTTAAATTATTACTACTACTACCACAATTTATGAACCTCTCTGGTGTAAAACTCTCAGAATCCTCACAAAATTCAGCATCTCTATTAATTGCCCAAGCATTCACTGTTACTTTAGTTTTAATAGGTATGCCATGACATATCCATTAATTACACATTTCTCCCAGCATTCTCTTGGAAGTAACAAAGGAAGTGGTGGATGTAACCTCAGAGTTTCTTTAATTACTAATTTTAGGTAGCTAACTTCTTTCAAATCACTCTCTGTTACTCCTCTTCTTTTTCCCTTGAGGATTCTTCTCAATTCTGTTTGTGCCTTTTCCATAACTTTGGGGTTTTTCATCATTTCAGCTATTGCCCATTCAAGAACGTCTGCTGAAGTTTCAGTTCCTGCTAGAAACATGTCCTGCATATATTCACATTTAAAATTACAAATAGAGTTAAGTAATGATGTGATCATATGGTGCAGTATTTGTTTTGAAAGTACTGTTAGTGAGGTTGTGCATAAGAAATTAAAAGAAATTTATGTCACCAGTATGACTGCTTTGATAGCAAATTAACCAAATGTGACGTATGGTGAAGATTCCAAGTGCATGCCTTTTTTTTCAGCGTTACTCTTGAATTTCTGTACTACTTTTTAAGAAAAATACAACTGTGGCTTCACAAGACATATGAACTTTGTCACAAGAATAATATATGCTATGCTTTGTATTGATGGAAGAGTGTTCTTTTTTTTGTGTGACTCAAGAAATAATATCTCAGATAGATAATCGAGGAAATGTTATAAATGGTCCTGAATTATTGGAGTAGGTCTAAAACAATGCATTCAGCTTAGCTGGTTGGGCGTATCAGTTCTATGGTCAAGGTTGCGAGTTGTCCATTCATCCTTCTTATAGGCTTATTTCTTTTTATGTTTTATGAAGAACAATTTATGAACCTCTCTGGTGTAAAACTCTCAGAATCCTCACAAAATTCAGCATCTCTATTAATTGCCCAAGCATTCACTATTACTTTAGTTTTAATAGGTATGTCATATCCATTAATTACACATTTCTCCCTGCATTCTCTTGGAAGTAACAAAGGAAGTGGTGGATGTAACCTCAGAGTTTCTTTAATTACTAATTTTAGGTAGATAACTTCTTTCAAATCAATCTCTGTTACTCTTCTTTTTCCCTTGAGGAATTCTTCTCAATTCTGTTTTTGCCTTTTCCATAACTTTGGGGTTTTTCATCATTTCAGCCATTGCCCATTCAAGAACGTCTGCTGAAGTTTCAGTTCCTGCTAGAAACATGTCCTGCATATATTCACATTTAAAATTACAAATAGAGTTAAGTAATGATGTGATCATATGGTGCAGTATTTGTTTTGAAAGTACTGTTAGTGAGGTTGTGCATAAGAAATTAAAAGAAATATATGTCACCAGTATGACTGCTTTGATAGCAAATTAACCAAATGTGACGTATGGTGAAGATTCCAAGCGTTAATTATTTGCATGCCTTTTTTTTCAGCGTTACTTTTGAATTTCTGTACTACTTTTTAAGAAAAATACAACTGTGGCTTCACAAGAATAATATATGCTATGCTTTGTATTGATGGAAGAGTGTTCTTTTTTTTGTGTGACTCAAGAAATAATATCTCAGATAGATAATTGAGGAAATGTTATAAATGGTCCTGAATTATTGGAGTAGGTCTAAAACAGTGCATTCAGCTTAGCTGGTTGGGCGTATCAGTTCTATGGTCAAGGTTGCGAGTTGTCCATTCATCCTTCTTATAGGCTTATTTCTTTTTATGTTTTATGAAGAACAATTTATGAAACTTAAGTTGGCTTAGTCATCATATGATGCTCTACATAAAAAATAATAATTAATATTATTATATTTAAAAAGTTATTTCGAATACATACAAAAAAGAACTCATGGAAAAAATGTGTCGCGGACAAATTATCCTCGAGGCAAACAAAATATGCTTATAAAAAGAGGACTAGCACTGAATCCATTTTATCATTCAATAATACATTTTCCCCTTTTTCTTGCCACTTTTCTCACCATATTGCTTCTCATTTTCACTGTGAAGTTATTATCCAAGAAAAAACCAACTCTACACTTGCCTCCAGGTCCATGGAAATTGCCTTTCATAGGAAGCATTCACCATTTAATTGCAAGCCAATTACCTCACCATACTATTAGAGACTTGGCCAAAAAACATGGCCCCTTAATGCACTTGCACCTCGGTGAGATCCCAATGGTTGTTATTTCGAGTCCTCGTGTATCCCAAGAGATACTAAAAACTCAAGATCTCGCTTTCACAAATCGTCCCGAGCTTTTAAGTATCAAAATTTCGACATACAACTATTCAAACATCGCGTTTGCACCTTATGGAAATTACTGGAGACAAATGCGTAAATTATGCACGTTGGAACTATTGAGTGCAAAGTCATTTGCCTCTATTAGGAAAGAAGAAGCATTCAATCTTGTTCATTATGTTGAATCAAAATCTGGATCAATTGTTAATCTTACAGAAAAGATATATGCCCTCACAAATGCTGTAATTTGTAGAGCAGCTTTTGGGAAGAGGAGAAAAGAAGAATCAGTCTATTTCATGTCTTTGATAGAGGAATTCTCACTAATGATAACAGGTTTGAACCCTGCTTTTTTCTTTCCCAATATCTCAATTTATGCAACACACTTTATTTTTTCGTCTATTCTAATTTATTTAACACACTTTTTTTTTAGGGTGTGTTTGGTATGAAGGAAAATGTTTTCCATGGAAAATGTTTTCTTGGAAAACAAGTTGATTTTTGACTTATTTTCTCATGTTTGGTTGGTGAGTAGAAAATATTTTCCGAAAAAGATTTTTAGTGTTTGATTTATGAATGAAAAATGTTTTTGAAAAATTTCTTTTATTTTTACTAGAATAGAAAATAATGGTTGAAATTGAAAATATTTTTTAAAAACTAACTTAATTTTTTTTGGGGGTGGGTGGGGGGTCGAGAGTAGGGGTGAAAAATTGAAATTTTGAAGTTAAAAATATTTTTTAAAAACAAACTTAAAATTTTTTTTGGGGGGTGGGGGGTCAAGGGTAGGGGTGAAAAATTGAAATTTTAAAGTTAAAAATATTTTTTAAAAACAAACTTAAATTTTTTTTTTGGGGGGTGGGGGGGCTGGTAGGGGTTGGTTGGGTGGGGGGTCGAGGGTAGGGGTGAAAAAAATGAAATTTTGAAGTTGAAAATATTTTTTTAAAACAAACTTAATTTTTTTTTGGAGGGAGGGGGGCTGGTAGGGGGTGGGGGGGTGGGTGGGGGGGTCGAGGGTAGGGGTGGAAAACATGAAATTTTGAAGTCGAAAATATATTTTAAAAACAAACTGAAATTTTTTTTGGGGGGGAGGGGGGCTGGTAGGGGGTGGGTGGGTCGAGGGTACGGGTGGAAAAAATGAAATTTTGAAGTTGAAAATATTTTTTAAAAACAAACTTAAAAATTTTTTTGGGGGGTGGGGGGGCTGGTAGGGCGGGGGTCGAGGGTAAGGGGTGAAAAAATGAAATTTTGAAGTCGAAAATATTTTTTAAAAACAAACTTAAATTTTTTTTTGGGGAGTGGGGGGGGGAGTGGTAGGGGGTGGGTGGGGGCTAGGGTAGGGGGGTCGAGGATAAGGGTGAAAAAATGAAATAATGTTTTTTAAAAACAAACTTAAATTTTTTTCCTTTTGAAGAGGGTGGGATAGGGGGCTAGGGGGAGGGGGGGGCGAGGGTAGGAGGTGGGGGTGTAAAAAGATAAAAAATTAAAATTAGAAATATCTTTTAAAAACAACTTTTAATATTTTTTTGGGAGGGGTGGTGGTAGGGGGTGAGGGTAGGGGTAGGGGTGAGGGTGGGGTAAAAATATTGAATTTAAAAACAAACTTTAATTTTATTTTATTTTTTTGGGTGGTTGGGGGGCTGGTTTGAGGGTAGGGACCAAATAAATTGATTTTTTCAACAATTTTTTTTTTAATTGAAAGTTGAAAGAGAGTTTTGGAAAATGTTTTCCTTAAGTTTTGAAAGGAAATCATTTTCCTTAAATTTGAGGAAAATGAGTAGATTTGAAAAACATTTTCCAAAACATTTAACCTAACCAAACATGAGAAAATTGAAAAACATTTTTCGAAAATGTTTTCCTTCATACCAAACACACCCTTAGTCTGGCTGCCTTCCGTCTGCATACCAGTACAATTGTGTTTTTAGTATTGATTGCATTTTCTTTCCAATTATTTACTAATAGGTTTGGACATAAGTGAGGTGTTTCCTTCACTCAAGTTTCTGCGAGTCATTACTGGCACTAAAGAAATATTATTGAAGCTTCACAAAACGTTTGACAATGTGCTTGACATGATAATAGAGGATCACAAGCACAAGTATGATGAAGAAGAGTCATCAAGAAAAAATGATTTAGTTAATTTGCTATTAAACCTCCAAGAAAGTGACACTCTTGATTTCTCCTTCACTACAGACAATATCAAAGCAGTCATACTGGTGACGTATTTCTTTTAATTTCTCAATACATATTCACGTAAACTCATAGATTACACTCGAGTAGTAATTATAAATAATGCGTATATATGCAGGACATGTTTCTAGCAGGAACTGATACTTCAGCGACTGTTCTTGACTGGGAAATGGTTGAAATGATGAGAAAAAAGTTCAAACGAGAAGACTATGTAGATAATTAATAGGTACTCAGTTTCATAGCATAAATATACTTTTGCAGCAACTTCTACTTGACAAAAAGTTCAATGATTTTCTATTCCACAAAAACTATAACTTGGTGTTCAAGCAATGTAAAGACTCAAATTGTTGAAGAAAAATGATTTGATCAAAAACATGTTTGAAGAGTCCAAACTAGATTTAATAGGTACTCCTCCGTTTTAAATTGATTTGTTGGACTTTTATTTTTATTCAATTTAATATAGAATGTTCTTTTTTTCTTGGGGGTGGGGGGGGACATCTTTAAGAACACAAAGTTAAAAGACATATTTATATATTCTAAATATCCTCAGATTAATATTCTTCTTTATTTTTGAAAAATAAGACAAATCTTTTTCCCAACTGATTTTCAACTTCAATATTATATTGTCTAGACATTTCTATTGCTTCATCCTTACCATTCAGCAAATAGACATAGTCGTTTCGAATGCAATTGTCGATGAAAGTTATGATATACTTTTTTCCACCATGAGATGATGTTGACTTCATATCACAAATGTCAGTGTAAATCAACTCTAAGGGATTAAAATTCCTTTCGACAGATTTATAAGAATGTTCAGCATACTTAGATTCCACACAAACTTGACATTTTAATTTATTGCACTCAAAGTTAGACAAAAAATTTAAGTTGATCAGTTTTCCTTACAAGGTTTTGTAATTGACATGCCTCAAGTGTTCATGTCACAAACAGTTTGACTCAAGCAAGTAGGAACAAATAAAAATATTGAGTTTGAAAAGCTCTCCGTGAGGTAGCTTTTTCTCACAAATATTTTGTTCCTATTTCTTACAATTTTGTGTGATACAAACATTGTTTAGAGTCATCACTTTGTCAAATGTCCTTTTCGGAAGGACATTTCCATAACTTTCAATTGGATTGTTATAGAACTACCCTTGAACAAAGTTTCATCGAGTCCAATAAAGGCAATATAGTTCAAGTGCTTCTTTTACAAAACATGATAAATGACTATTCACCAACATTCTATATACAAATAGTTATATTTAATAGACATATCTTTTCATGAAAGTTCACAACATTTTAAGTGACATTTTTTCATAAAAGAACTCAATCATTTTGAACAAGTATACATATAATTTGGTAGTTTCATACTAGTCATACCATATACTAGTAAAAGAGAAATTCAATGACCACAATATCAAATATACTCCAAGAATTTTGTGGGTCTAACATAATACAAAATTATCATCGAATTTAATATCATAGAACCCCCCACATTTTAAATATGATCTCAAAAATATTTTTCAAGTATTTAAAAATAGTTTTTCCACATATTTTTTTCTCATGCTATCAAAGTGTCATTGGCAACATGAAACCTCTTTTGAAAATATTATTCAACAAAAGAATTATAGTGCTTCAATTCTCTTTGACAATCTTTACACAATGTCAAAGTTCATTCCATAGAGGCACAAAATCACAAACTCTAAGTCACTAGTATTTTTTCCTCTATCACAAATAGACATACCACTTAATATTTAAAATACTAACAATAAAGACAATTTTTTGTATAATTTGTTTCTATATAACAGTGAAGTTTATAGAAAGTCAAAAGTACAACATTGACTTGTTATGTCAAGCTTTCATATTCTTCAAACAAATAGCATAGACTAATTTATCCAGAGTAGAAAACTACAAAAGTTTTTAGTCTACAAAAATCAGACAGAATCAAATTTCACAAGGAGTACAGAACTACATTTTCTTTTTAGTCTTCAAACATAATTAAACATATTCTTAGAGTATCACATAGATATGCTTTTCTTTTCAAATAGCCCTCCAACTACAACATTTTGACATACTATTTTATCAAACAAAAAAGTGCATCTCTCATTCTGCAAACTAAAGAATTTTAAAGGTAACACTTTTTGCCAAGAAAAATTCATTCAAAAATCATATGGTTTTGTAGATCTTTTTCCAAAGACATGCATAATAAATATCAAAATTGTTAACTTTTAGAAATTATTTTCCTCCTTAGATAAATAATAAGAAGGTTACCTGGTGTAATCTTTAATCGAAATATCATCAATTCTTCTAGTACATTCTCACTTCGACCTTGCTAAACAAAACACCGAATTCTGGAGAAGTAATACATTAATCTTCTACTTCCATGCAGTGGCGGATCCAGGATTTCTGTGGAGGGGATTCGAAATATAAAGAAGTAAACATGTGAAAATTACAAGATAAAAAACTGAGCGAGATAGGAGGAAATTAGTAATCTGAATCCAATAAGTTTAACTTGCCTTGTCACGTCGCGTTTAATTTTTTTTACTTTTACCCTTTTTCATCAATCTTTTTTTAAAAAATATTTCTTGTGCTTTTTTTCTATTTTATATTGCAGTGTTCTACTCTATTTTTTGAATTTTTTTTAAATTCAACCACTAAGATTTTATAATATATATTTGTTGACACCCAATTTTGACCCTCCACAATATAAATTAATCATTTCGAGCTTCTCCAATTTCAAACGATTTAAAATTATTAGTTTTATAAAAAATTTAAAAATAAAATAATAATGAAAATAAATAAATAAAAATAATAATATAGTTTGCAAGATTTTTAAATAGTTTGTCACTTTTCATAAATCTTAGATGATATATATGTTTTACATAATTATATATAATTAGTATATTTTATGATTATTCGAAAATCGTCTCAAAAAATATTTTGTATTTTAAATATTAGGGATGGTTATAATTTTGAATTAATGAGTTTTTATGAAATTCTAAATACTTCCAAGCTATGTTTAAAGTAATTTTATATTTATATATATATATATTTTTATTTATTTTTTATTTTTTTAATAAATATGTATATCTTAGCAAATCACGTTATTTTATAAATATTTGAAAAATCATCATAAAAGATTTTACATCGTAGTTAAATACTCTATTAATTTACTTTAAGTTATAGTTATAATTTCTAGCTAATTGGTTTTGTAATTGAATTAGTTAGTTTATAATTAAATTAATTATTTTATTTCATTAAGATTGAGAAGCTCGATAGTCTAATTATATTAATTCGTTTTATTACTAGTTGAAGGCCAATTTTGGGCAGCCCATTTCCAATTCAAAAAATAAATAAATAAAAATAAAAAATAAAAAAACCAACCCAATTCCCTCAGCAAGCAACTACGTACAGCAACAATACAATACCAATATAATTCCAACAAACCCATTCTTGATTCTTCTAACAATAATAATAATAATAACAATTAAAAAAAGGGGGCCAGCCGTAATAACAACAGCAATACATACAATTCAAAATATTCATACATGCAATACAGCAAACAAACCAAACCGACCCCACCTGTGTTCTCCTTCTTCTTCAGCAAAGACCAAAACGTCAAAGCAGCAGTAGCTGTGTATAGCAGCAACGTAGCTCACAGCAGCAGCAACACACGCAACGCCAGACGACCCATACGTTATTTCTTCTCCTTCACGCGTCAAAATAGACGGAAAGCTGTTAATGTCTTCATCAACAGTGCAGCAGAACCTGAAATTACTTCCTGCAGCAGCTGCAAAAAATCACCCTTGACTCGCGTGAATGGGCGCCACGTCGAGCACAAGGGCGGTGGGTTCGATCTAAGCCGTCCACATTGATTTTTTCATCCGGATTTCGTGAAATTTGGGGTGAAATCTCGTTCAAATCCAACTGCCCCCTATTCTGGAATTTTGAATTTCGAAACCGAAAGAGAATTCCATTTATTTATTTTTTACCTTTGTTCCAATCCGATTTTCATCCTGGGAACTCCCCTATAAATACCCATCCTCTTTACTGTTAAAAGGTTGGGGGGGAAATTTTAACCAAGGAAAAGAGAATAGCTTAAGTGAAATAGCTAGATTACATACAGAATATACCACAAGGAGTCAGAGTAAGCAATCGGTTTCGGTGTTCAAGTTCGATACTTTGCTCGGATTTCTTGATCGCTGCTCGAATTTGAGTCTTTGTGTGGTGGAGCTCGTCTCCCTTCTTGTTCCCGTTTCCTGTTCGCTGCCCATAACGAGGTAAATCACATGTAACTCCCTTATTCAGTTCGTTCCTTATAAATTTTAGACCATGAGTTGTGCTTTGATCCGTGCCAAAATACTCTCGCGTGATATGTTAAAGATTAAGTTGCCTTATTAAATTATCATTATTATTATTATTTAATTTTCTTTTCTGAAATGAGTAGCGCAGGTTCTATTCTTAAGATGATTTAGTACATATTTTGAATTGTTCTACGTTTGTAGTCGTCTGAATTGGTGGTCACGGTGCTTGCCTCGAGCTTTAGCTTGTGTTATTGGTTAATCATGTTGTTGTTCTGTTCTCTTTTGATGAAATAGGATCCATGCTTATTGTTAATGTATTTTGAAGATGCAAATAAAGTTGTACAGTGGTATTTAGCTACCTTCAAATATGAATTAGTAGATTTTCAAGTAATAGTTTTGAATAGGATCAGGTAGTCGAGTTTAGTTCATACTCATTTTACATCCATTTTAGTGTTAATATTCATGTCACATTTGTTGGGTTTGTTTGAAAAGCGTCAAGCAGTCCATTATTGGTGCATTCCCCCATATGTCTCGTGTTGTTAGATGTCATCCAGGTCTAGTTTGAACGTGTTGTTTGTTTCTGTTGTTTGGCTCTAAATGGTATACAATCTTGATCTTGTTTAGCTCGACGTGCCTTAAATAAGTTCGTGTAATTTTTTATTTTTTTATTTTTATTTTTTTTTCGGTTACGAGTTGGCATAAAAATGTGTCATGGTCTGCATTTGTTCATTCATTTTATGTGTTTACCTCTTTGGGATAAATAAATCTGTCCTCTTTGCTATTTGAGATCTCCGTGAGCCTCATGTCTATTTTTAACAAATTTCGATAAGTTGGGAGTACATAAAAATTGTGAACGTGCATCCATACTTTTGCTTTTATTCTTCTTCAATTTCAGCATGTCTCAATAATTGCTAAGGATGCTATG